TTTTGGATGAAGTACTACAGCGTGCACATGTGCAAGGGGGTAGCTAGAGCTAGAGGTGGCTTCAGCTTCTGGCACTGGTGTACATGAGTTACAGTTCAGCTCCCCATCTGGCGTGCTATGCTCTCAGGATCAGGACCAGGATCTACCAAGAAAGGTAGAGTTCTCCACAGGGCTTTTGTCCTTCCTCCACCCGGCCATAAATTAGCTTATCTGCTCCCCAGTACTATGCAGGCTTGGGGCATAGGGCTGCTTTGGTCTGTCTTGTTCCTTGCCACACACAAGACTTCAGTCTCCTGAGGAGTGAAATGGTTTGCTGAACTTACAGGGCTCAAGAAAGGACAAGAAGGTAAAATGCACTCAATTGTGACACATAGGCAGAAGTGAGGCACACGTCCCCCAGAGACACCTGGCACAGATAATGTACTTTCTACCACAGCGAGGTGGTGAAAGTGGGTATCTTTAGGTAAGGTGCAAATGCATGTTCAGTAGAGGTTCACCTCCACCCTCCTTTCCTCCCCTTCTCATGACCTGAACAGCAACTGATGAAGTTTCGAGGTTTTATAATTCAAGCCTTTGCTATAGGTCTTGCAAAAGATTCAGAACAGGAATCAACATGTACATTAGTCCCTGGATAAATTCCCCATAAGATCCATGAGTTTCACAGCATACTGCAAAGCTCTTGAGGTCCAAGCTCCAACAGCCATCTTAGAGAAAAATGTTCCCCTGAACCTTCATGCTACTAATTTTAGCTCAGATGAGATTTTCATAACTTTTTAAGGGACTCAATAGGAGCAACTGTGCTGACAGCAAGAGGGAATTAAGTTCTTATGGCACAGACAAGGCTCTTGAATGTTGGCAAGCTGTAGCCATACAGAAAGCCACACCGCAGCTGAAGTAGAGCCCCATCTTTTGTTTAATTGGAAATCTGTGCCCATAACCAGCTGCTCCTATTATTGAGACACAATAAAGACAGAAATCCTCAAAAATCCCTTGTATTCAGAAATTCAAGCTGGCATGTTATAACCCCTTTGGATTTGTCCAAACCACAGGCTCAAGGAATGGAAGGCTGAACATTCACATGTATTTACACATGCCTTGCCTAAAAATGTGAAAAACACATCATAGAAGTACTTATTTTTAAGCATCTGCCCTCAAACTTATGTCAGTGCAAGGAGGATCTGCTGTCAGACTGCCAGCCCCAGCAGACAAACTGGCTCCCAAAATTGCCTTCCCCCATCTTCCCAGCCAGGCCCAGCCTGGGATTTTGCTTTGCTGAGGACACGTTTCCATCGGTGTCTGCCCATTTCAAGGATTTCACACTTATTTCTTTATCTGACCATTGAACAGCAGGCAGGGGAAAAAAGTATTTCTCAAAGCTTAGGTCCTGAGCTTCTGCCTCACGTCCTACACAGCCACTTCTCCCCTTCCCATCTGCATCCGTATCTTCCAGAAGAGAAGTCCCTCTTCTGCCATAAGACAACTTCTCACAGAGGTCCAGTCCAAGTGGGATTAGAGCCCACGGAAGCCTCTTGGCCATCCTGTATAGCCAACTGCTATTACAAGAAACCACATTTTCTAATCACTTTGTAATTTATGGAGCTCAGTCTTGGGTTTTTACCCGTCACTCTCCCTGTTGGCAGGTTGCCGCTGAGCCTTACACCTCTGATGGTTTGAAAGCTCTTCCAATTTCCTGCCTGAATGCATTTGGAGCCAGTTTATATCTATGTTCTTGTGCCAAAGTTGGGGTTTGAATAACTGCTCTTCCTCCTCTAATGCATAGGGAGTGATCATAACCCTTCGATTTGCTAGCCTGAACAAACCCAGCTCTTCTGGGCTCCTCAATGAAATAACATTTCCAGTCTCCTTCCAGTTTATACCCCTCCTTCTTGAGCCAAGATGTCATAAATTTTAGCCAGTTTTCCAGATGAATTTTTGCCATACCTTATGCAGTGGTATTATAACATTTTTTATATTACCATCTACATCCCTGTGTTAGAAACCTATTCAGAAATATATAATATTTATGGCTGCTGCATAGTAGTAGACCACTTTGTAGTCCTGTACACTAATGAGCCATAATATAAGGAAGTCAGCTCTGCTCTCTGATGCAATGTCTGGATCATTATCTGCAAACACTGGACCAATGCTTTTTTTTTTCCTCAAGTAGCAAGCATTAAGTAACCAATGTGATTTTCACATAGTTGACACGTACCACAGAGCAGCTGATGCCTGAATTAGTGTCCAGGAATTCAGTGAGACCTTTTAGATTTAGGTCGATTCCCCTTTAGATTATACTTAATATTTTAAGCTACAGATTGAAGGGACTCTCCAAATTCTGAAATGACCTATGATAACTGCTGAAAACCGATGTCATATTTGTGGGCCAACTTCCCCCCCTGAAATCCTGTAAATTGCTGTGCTGAGTGAGATGTGACCACTGTCTCCCAAGAATCGTGAGGTAGGGAGGCTGTCGTCCAAGTATAATAAGAAAACTATGTTAGTCTTTCAGGGGACCACTTACCTCCCCAACTCATACATTGCGTAGAGATTTTAATAAAGTAGAATATTGCAGAAAAATTTGTTTCATTTCATCTGTTCCATGTCAAAGAAATACAACAGTGAAACAACTGAAGGCAAAGAAAAATTCACTGCCTCCAAACCTGTATTTTCAGCCCAGCCTGACAGCAGTGTCCTCAGCTGGAGCAGAGCCCACCAGCTGTTCCACAGCAGACATCAGCCTTCATCAGCCTTCCAGAGGCTCCACATCACGTACACATACCTGACTCATCGACCAGAAAGCCACACGTCTGTCTGCAGCCTTGCAGGGCTCCAGTAAGTTGCTGTAGAGGTACCTCCTACCCCTATGGGAGGCAAACAGCACCATCCTGCACCCCAGGGCACCTCCCAGCCCCACAACACCCCGGCCACGGGGTGAGAAATTCAGGGTGCTGCTCTTCACCCCAGGACAGCCCCCAGCCCTGCATGGTGGCTCTTTCATAGCTCAGAGAAGTCACATTTTGCTTTGGTCTCCTCAGTGGCTCGTCTGATGTGTGAAAGGTCCTAAGAAGGCTGGCCAGGCTGGAAGGATTTCAGTGCCTGTCTCAGGCTCTGCGTAGGGCTGCTCTTCATCTCCATGGTGATTCGAGATGGGCCTGAAGTAGCAAACCTGCTAAAGGGCCCAGCAACGTAGACAGAGGAGTGTAATTAGAAAGTGGGTGTTCATATAGAGGAGCACCATGACCTCCACAAGAAACAGATGCTGGAAGAATCCAAAAATACATTAACCTGGGTAATGCATGAGATGTCAGTACCTACTGCTAGAGCTGATGGACTTTTATTTTCTCCTGAACATCCCAAACTCCCTGATGGCACACTATTTCTTAAAAAGCACATGAGGTATCAAAGAAGCATCCAGATCTTCTGGAATATGTCACCACCATGCTGGAAGTGGGTTTTAACTGCTGTCCATGCCATGTTGTACTCATCAGAGACCATGTCTACCCAATCAGGTGCCACCTGTCACTAAATAACTGTATTTCCACCCAAAGCTACAAGGATATGGGCCAGCTTGGGCTCCAGAAGCCACCGACATGCCTGGACAGAAGGCAGTGCTGAGAGCAGGTGGCACCAGCTTGGGTATGGTCCTCCAATGGGACTCCCAGAACTCTACTGGTCTGTGTCCCTGCAGCATGAAGGACCAGCAGAGTTGCTTCAGGACCATCTGCATCTCTCCACACACCATGTCTTGTACCTCCTGGGAGGCACAAAGGGAGCCTCTGACATAAGGAAGGTGACAGAAAACAAGGCTGCTGCCTGATTTGCATGGTTGGATGGCAACAAATGAAACACATGGTGCTGAGGAGTTTCAAGCAAGCAGTGAACAAGGCTTGTAAAGACAAGAAGAAGCAAAAAAAAACCCCACCAAACAACTGGATTTTCTCTAATCAGACAGATAATATTTACAGCCTACGGGGTGGTGCCAAAATATTTCAGGAAATGCCTAAGCCCTTCTGAATAAAAGCTCAGGAAAACACAATATTTAAGGACAGCAACTACAACAGCAAGAATGAAAGCTTTCCACCCTCTCCCAGCCTCCTTACACAGTTTAAAATGATTGCCATAGCAATTATCAAGGCTAAGCTCATTTTGCAATCTCCTCTGCAAATTAAGTTCTGAGTTGAACACATAGAAGATCGGCATAAAAACCAAACGAATCATGTAAACTGCAAGGAGCAGAAATCAGTGCGTGCTCCGCACAGACAGCGCGCTGAGGTCTAATCCATCCCACTCAATTCCTGTACCAAGCGACTTGAACTTCATTTGAGCAATTTCTTTCCAGTAAAACACAAACATCATGCTTGAAAAACCCAACTCCAAAGACTTTGGCCTGTTTTTCAGAGTCATCTACCAGCTTTGATTGCCTGCCCTGGACTTCGCATTGAGCAAAGTGGTCCAAGAAGGCAGAACACGAGCACCGAGTCCCCAGGGAACACTGGAGTCCCACCACTTTTTATTTTTCCATGAAACAGTAGTAGGTAGGTCTGTATCTGTTCCCTTGCACAACCACAACAAACCCCATCCTGGAGGTATTTTGTTTCTCCTCTCTCAATTACCAATTACATCTACAGATACAGAAAAGCACAAGTGCTGCAAGGATTGCATCTCTTTTGTGTCATTCGTGCATTCAGGCCAGACCTGTCTCTGTAAGTCTGTATAGAAACAGCCACACGAAACACATGTGTGTACCCCTAGAAGAAAAATCATAGAATCATAGAATGGTTTGGGTTGGAAGGGACCTTAAAGGTCATCTAGTTCCAACCGCCCTGCCATCAGCAGGGACACCTTCCACTAGACCAGGTTGCTCAAAGCCTCATCCAACCTGGCTTTGAAAACTTCCAGGGAGGGGGCATCCACAACTTCCTTCACAAAATCAGGGCAACTATTTCCAAAGAGCATCTTAAAACAACTTATTTATGGTGACTGGGTGGTGTCATCGTTACCTGCTCAGGCTTCAGGCCAGGTGGGACCCACGCGTACTCTTCCAAGGCACAGCCCGAGTCATCGTCAGAAGTCGAATTCCTCTGGAAGTCAAACATGAGTTTCGTGACAGTCTTCTCCATCTCCAGAGGCATAACTGTTACGATGTGCTCTTCCTGGGAGCACTTGCAGTGAAGGCAAATCTTCCTGCAAGGCGAGGAGAGAGGAAAAAGAAGAAACACCCCGGTGAGTTGCACTTTAACTAAGAAAGCAAAGCGATTCCTGCCAGGCACTGGCCTGCAGGTACTAAACTCAACCCTTTTTTATGCTCAGGCATTTTCTAACGCAGGAGTTGTCTCTCCTACGAGGAGGAAATAAAAAAAATCCATATTTGCTGTAACAACACTTGGCAACCAAACTGAGTCAGACTGCCCAGTGTTTGGGGAGACGTCATTGTTTGTCCCTTTACTGCACTGTGAGGAGTATTTCCAGGGGCCGGCACGGGTGAGGGCCACACGCCCGCCTGGTGCAGCTCGGCGTGCCAGCCGGTAATTGCAGAGCAGTTACTGAATTTAGGGCAGCTGAGCACTTGGCTAATACAGAAAATGGTGGATTGACTGGGAAGCTGTGAATGACAAGTCCCTTCAGCATGCTGATAGCATAAATTTGCTTATTAAAGTAGCATAAAAATTGATTATAGTCTGAACATATAAAGCTAAATTAAATTATGGGAGGCTACAAAAACCACAGTCACACTACAACGGCATCTTAACCACCCGGCTCGACAGCACGCGCCGCGGCTCAGCGGCACACCGGCTTGTACGCTGCCCGAGAGCCGGACAGGAGGAGAAAAGCACAAAGAGAACAGAAAGAACAGCCCACAGGTTGCAATTTAACAGCCATTCGCTTAATTCACTGCAAATATCGCTTCTTAGCATGTCTTTTAAATGTCTGTTCATGCAGCTGGTGGTCCATGGGACATGTCCTTCATGGGCTTGAACCTGAGCATTTCTCTGCAGGGCTACTAGGACATCACTCCCCTTCACCAGGGATAAAGGACTAACCCAGCTGAAAACACCCCCCAGCCCCTTATAAAGAGGTTAAAGGGAACGCTGACAAATTGGTTTCTATTTCTGAAAATGCAATGCTTTGCCACAATATGGGTCAATGGGATCTAATTTAAAGTAACCACGCAGGATTCGGAGTTAATTTGTGCTAATGAAACACCACTGAACTTCCAAGGAATGAGGTATGGTTTCATTGGGGTAGCAGAAGGGAGACATCTCAGAAATAAGGTACCACACACAAGGCACAATGGGCACACTGTTGTCACTGCACCAACTGTAGGAATTTTAACAATGGCAAGTGCTGGATTTTGTACCTGGGACACATCAACTGTGGACACACACGCTGACTGGGGAAGGAGAGGCTGGAGAGCAGAGAGAGGGACCTGGGGGTTCTGGTCAATGGCAAGTTGAACATGAGCCAACAGCGTGTCCTGGCTGCCAGGAGGGACAACCATGTCCTGGGTGCATCCAGCACTGCACTG